AGATAAAAAGGTAGATTATTGAATCTACTCTGGAAAAAAAAGGCACAGATATGATAGGATAAAAGGGTAGATTATTGAACCTCCTCTGAAAATTAAAAACAGGAATATAGATACAAGAAAAAGGTAGATTATTGAATCTACTTTTAAAAAGCAACTACTAATTTTAAATATTTATATTGGATTGGATTTTTATATATTGTATACAAACTGTGTATATTGATACAAATTTGAGATTAATTTTGTTAGAAAATACTGTACATATATTTCTATTCTTGTTCAAGGTATTGTACCTATACAGCTCATTTAATAATATAATGCAAATTGCTAGTCCTTGAAAGTTATTATTACCAAATAATTAGGAAATAAAGAAAGGCAAGTTAGCAGTTAGTCATTAAATTCAAACTTGTAGTCAGGTTAGGTATGTTTTCAAGGTCAAACAGAGATATATTTTAGATAGATCATTTTCAAACACTTCAGAGATCTACAGAATATGACATTTAAGATGTTTTAATAACATAGATTCTTTTTTTTTATTACAATGAGACATGTCTGCTCCTGGCAGCAACAATCTACTTCAGAGAAGATGATGAGCACAAAAGAAACTCCACATGGATTTTACTTTCTTTGTGGTAAAAGTTAGCCACTGGGCAAGAAAGTGCCATTGCCATGACTGCTGACAGTATGTCCAAATGGACAAGCAGGACACAAAAGAGAGGACTGCCAAACCTTGCCAAGACAAGGTAGGAAGGCCCTTCAGAAAATCCTGCTTCACAGAAAAGTCTGTCAGATATGCTAAACCTGTAGGTCAAAGATGGATGCCCCAATGTTACAGAGGAAACTTGGGTGACTGTCCAGGCAGCCAGCTGTTTGTCATTTCTCACATTTTTTGGAAGTCACTTGCCTGCACTTCCTGCTTACTTAGGTAATATTATTTCCTTCTTGGGTCTCTGATCTAGTTGAAGACTTTATAGTTATATAGTTTTCCTTGTTAACAAATTCAGAAAAGAAACTCACTAAAGAAGTGTAAAATGTGTAAGTTTGAAAGACATCAAAAGATTATTTTGGATTGATAACACAAGTTAGAATAGAAAGTGAATTAGGTACAACTTTGGACTCACCAAAATAGGATAGATAATGGAATATTTTCTCTGAATTTATCAAATATTTATGGACTGGACATTGTTAATGTAATTCTTGACTGTATATATTGTATATGCTTATTGTACTTATTATATATAGTTTTTCTTATGTAGTTATAACCTTCTTTTATTGTTTTAGACAAAAAGCAGAAATGTGGTGATGTATTGTGTACCCTAATAAAATTTACCTGAAGATCAGAGAACAGAGACAGCCACTAGATTAGACATAGAGGCCAGGCAGTGGTGGCACACACCTTTAATCCAAACACTTGAGATCTCATACCTTTAATGCCAGTATTTGGGAAGCACACATGCCATTAATCCCAGCACTAGGAAAGAAGTGATGGATGAGTGGAGAAAGGTATATAAGGCATGAGGAGACAGGAACTGAAGCTTTTTCAGACTAAGGAGTCTTAGAGGTAGGACATGGCAGTGACTTGTTCTTTGTCTCTCTGATCTTTCAGCATTTATCCCAATATCTGCCTCTGGGTTTTTATTAAAAGACCTATTAGAAATTCATGTTACAAGAGATGGTGGCATACACCTTTAATTTCAACACTAAGAAGGCAGAGGCAGAAAGATCTCTGTGAGCTAGAGGCCAGCCTAGTCTACATAGCAAGTTCCAGGCCAGCCACGGTTACAAAACAAAAATAATTTAGACAGTAAGTCTATCCACCTGGTCTTCCCCAGGAATTGTCTATATATTTTTACTTTAAATGACTCATAATTTTCTGCCTGTGATATATATATATATATATATATATATATATATATATATATATATATGATTTTTGTTGTTAAGAACTTGATATTTGAAGCTGAGGATGTGACTCAAATGGTAGAGTGCTTGATCTCTAGCAACACACAAAGCTGGCTGTAGTGGCATATTCCTGTAATCCCAGTGGTTGAGGAAAGCCTGGGTTATATGATATTCTGTCAGAAAAAGTAGGTCCAAGAGGGAGGGAGGGGCATGGGGGAATTTTATAATGCAGCAACTCTAGACAACAAATTTCTCATTTGTGAGGGCTTACTGGAATTTAAATGTTTTAGCCTGAATTATAATCTTAAGGTCTTCTTAGACCTTTCTTCTTTAAATTTTTTAGATTTATTGTATGTATATGGTTTTTTGTCTGCATGTGTGTATGTGTACTGTGTATATGCTTAGTGCCTGAGGTCAGAAGAGGGCATGGGAGTCCTTAGAACTGGAGTTTTGGATGGTTTTGGCTAGAGTTACAGTTGTGAGTGCATGATGTGGGTGCTGGGAACTGAACTTGAGTCCTCTGCAAGATCAACAAGTATTCTTAACCACTAAACCATTCCCCAACCCCCTTTTCTGTGTTTTAATCTTTTCTTCATATTAGTGACTTTTTTGTGTATGATGGTCTACAAACGATTTAATTTTTAAGAAAACATTTACTATTTCTTATTGAAAACTGTATATATGTGTATGTGTTTTGCTTCAATCCTATCCCTATGCTCTCTTTGCCAGTTCCTTCCCTCTCTCTAACACTACTATTTTCTGTCAATTTCATGTGTTCTCTGATGAAATTTGTTTTTAATTATGTGTGTGGGTGTGTATGTGCACCTGAATATGGAAAACAAAAGCATGGAGTCCCCCTGGAACTGGATTACAGGTGGCTTGTAAGCTGCCCAGCAAGGCTGCTGGGAACCAAACTTGGGTTCTCTTCAAGAGCAGTATGTGTTCTTAACCACTGAGCCACGTCTCCAGCCCCCTGGTAAGTATGCTTTATATCTAAGTGAATAGTTGGATTCTTGGCACTTTCTATACTTCCATCTTCTCTAACATAAATATTTTTCAAATCCCTGCACACAAGGCTGTTGTGTGACATTTTGATTGTGTTCTGACAAATAAAGCTGGCCTGGAGTCAGAGGGTGGAGCTGGCCACTAGCTGACCATAGAGCTTTGGAGGACTGTAGAGAGAGACAGGAAGTGGTAAGGCAGGGCTGAGACAGCATCTCGGGCCTTTTGGATGGAGGAACAGAAAAGGTAGGAAGCAACTGGCAGCTGCTCCCAGTTCTCTGATCTTTTGGGTTCTTGCCCCAATATTTGACTTCTGGTTTTTTTTAATTGATGAAATTAATTAGAATAAAGCAGCATGGGTATAGCTTTACTCATAGTTGTCACTACTTGAAAATCATCCAGATGTCCTTTAGTAGGTGAGCAAATGGCATCTCCATACAGTGAGATTATTATTCAGCACTACAAAGACTGAGCTGCTGTCAATTCATGAAGACAGAGGAAACCTAAATGCATATTATTGAGTCAACAAGCCAATGTGAAAAGTCTACATTCTATGTGATTCTAACATGACATTTTGGAAAAGGTGAAACAAACTATGGATACAATCAGGTTTCCAATAATTGGGGAAGAAAGAAATTGACAGGCAGAAAGACTTGGAGGACACTTCTTCCATGGGACAACATAATGGTGGATAAATTTACTCATTTGGCACAATCTCCATTATGTACATCAAAGCGACTCCTAGAGCGGGGTTCCTGCGGCTCCAGCCCTCACCGAAGAGCTATGAGCAGATGATATCTGTTGGGGGAGGAGTGTCACTTTTCCTCAGTCTGCTGGTAGGCTGCCCATCCTCCAGTGAGTGGGTCTGCCCCTATATTTATGAGGGTAGCAGTAATGAAACTCAGGGGGTTATTAAGTGCGGGGAGCTGGGGGCATGGTGACATACACTTTTAATTCCAGCACTTGGAAGGCAGAGGTAGGCAGATCTTTGAGAGTTCCAGGCCAGCCTGATCTACATAGAAAATTCCAGGCCAGACAGTTTACATGGTAAGAACTTGTCTCAAGAAAATAAAGCGGGGGAAAGACATGAAAGTAGAAAGGGGAAGTTTGGAGGGGCTTTGAGCAAGTGGGAGAGGACAGCTGAGTCACTAAGATTAATATGTTACATATGTATATGAATTGTCAAGGAATACATTTTTAAAAAAATGATTCCTAATGTAATGAGAATCAACATAGGTTTCTCTGTTGTAACAAATGAATTACTTCCAATGGGAAGTGTTGATCATCAGAACACTGCATATGTGGTGGTAGAGAGATATATAGGGAATCTACAACTTCCTCTTTTTCTGTGAAACTAAAACTTCTCTTTTTAAAAGTGTATGCATGTATATAAATACATATAATGTCAGTTGTAAATTCTGTCATGATAAACATAAAAGAGAAATAATTGAAAGTAATTTACAACAAAATGTGCTTTCCCACATGAGGGTTGGGCCTGAAGAAGGTGGTCAGATCAATGCCAATGTATCCAGAAATCTAAACAAGAAACCCTCACTGAGCTCTTCTAATCCTGCTACTGTCATATGAATCATATTAAGTCAGTTCAACCTCCAATTATCCCATTTTACAGGCGAGGTAATAAGAGGCAGTTGCTAGGAAAGCCCAGAGTCCTAAGATAATCAATACTGCTGCCAATTTAAACCCATGCCCACAGTTTTCACTGTGTGTTCTACTTGCATCCTTTGACTGCCTAATTTGGGGTGACCGCCCGACTTTCAAAGAAGATCCACGCATCTTTTCATGACCCTTCCATACCACTGACTCAGGTGCCCTGGGAGGTGGGATACAGTTTGGTTCTTTGGTGGAGTTAAACATAGCTGTGCATATAGAGGGTAAGTATGAGTGGACTTTAAAAAAATGTTTCCCCAATCACTTTGAAATTTTTAGAATCGGCCGGGCGGTGGTGGCGCACGCCTTTAATCCCAGCACTCGGGAGGCAGAGCCAGGCGGATCTCTGTGAGTTCGAGGCCAGCCTGGGCTACCAAGTGAGTTCCAGGAAAGGCGCAAAGCTTACACAGAGAAACCCTGTCTCGAAAAACCAAAAAAAAAAAAAAAAAAAAAAAAGAAATTTTTAGAATCATGGTAGGGAATTCTGAAAAGAAACATCCTCATATTTCCCAGTTTTCCTATCATTAAGGAAATTAGTATCAGGTGAAAACTAGAAGTGAAGATGTTTGGTATGTTTTAAGGAAGTTGGTCCTCCCTGTTGGTAAAATAGAAAAGATGAGTGGCACTTGGTGTGATAAGCCAGGGTCAAGACTCCATAGTGCACATCTTCATGCACAAGTGCAAACTCATCATGGTAAATGGGGGGAACGTTCTAGAGAGCAAGAGACCAAGTAAAATGTACAAGGCAAGAGTGCTGTGGAAGCTGAAACAAGGGGGAGGGTGGATCTGAAACAAGCAGGCAGGGAAGGACTGGGGGGGTCACTGGGGGAAGACAGGCAGGAGCAAGCTGCCAGGTACCACCAACTGCTCTTTGCAGAGGTATCGGGGACTAAGGGGGTCCAGCCCCTTGGTAGTCCCCTCCCAGGGTCCGGGAAGAATCTACAACCAGCTGGTAATTAATCTTTGATGAGGAGAAATGAATCTATGTACACGAAACTCCTTAGTCCATATACTTTATTATTCTGTGTCAGTTACAAGCTTATATTCTGCTCTCATATTTAGGTCATTTTTAGCCTGATTTCTCTCTACACTTGTCCGTGGTCCCCTCTGGGTTCTATCTTAATTCCTTCATCTTGTTCTGCCCCTTCTAGGGTCTCATCCATCTTGTTCCTTCCCATATCATCTTCTCTCCCATCGCTTTCTCTCTCCTCATCTCGTTCTTCCTCATCGTGTTGTTCCCCATCTGGCTCATCCTCATCTTCCATCTCGTTCCTCTAGTATTCTCTTCTAGCCCTTCAATCTAGTTCTTCCCCATCTCAGTTTGTTCCTCTCAAGTTCTTACCCGTCTAGTTCTTCCATTCTCTTTTCTCTTCTCCGATCCTCTGCCCTGGAAGTTCCGGTATATAAAAGGAGGGTCCGAGCTAAATTGTGTAAAGCTATTACTTAACGTCCACTTCCTAGGCAGTGTCCCCTTGTTGAATTTACCTTAAGTCAGGAGACTTGTATGTGGGCTGTTATCACTGTTAGTCCTCGGAAATTGGGCGACCACCTGGGCGGTGTCTCCTTGTGGAATTTACCTTAAGTCAGGAGACTCGCCTGTGGGTGGTTATCACTGTTAGTCCTCGGAAGTTGGGCAACCACCTGGGTGGTGTCTCCTTTAGTCCTTGAAAGTGGCTAGGGGAGATATCTGATTCCAGAGAAAGCCTTTCCTGAGGCTGTTCTCCAAATACCTGGAATGTGTATGTCTAGAGAGTGATCAGTCCACATTGTTAGCCGTTCTTAGGGAAAAGTCAATTGGGAAAACTATGAAGGCACACATGATTTTCATAACAGAAGACAGCTGATATATAACAAGCCAAGTAACACCAAAAACTCCTTGGGATTTGGCTTCCTCTGGAGGAATTCCCTGATTCCTCCAGGTAGTGACTTTGCCATAACCAGCTGAGTTCTTATGGTATATTCCTGCGGCCCGCAGCACAGAGGTGCCACAAGTGAAGCTGCCTTGATGCTACAAGTCTGATGCCTGACGTGTCTGAGGAGCATGGCAGAGGAGGTCACTGTGGACGGTACCACAGGGAGGTGGACAGAGCATACAGTGAAGCAGTGCTTCTCAAACGGTGGGTTGTGACCCCTTTGACAAACCTCTACCTCCAAAAAATAGTTACAATTCCTAACAGTAGCAAAATGACAGTTATGAAGTAGCAATGAAAATAATTTCATGGTTGGGGGTCACCACAACATGAGGAAATGTATTAAAGGGTCACAGCGTTAGAAGAGTTGAGAACCACTACAACATTGGTTGGTGTTTCTTCCCTCCACCCACCCCCAACAAGCTGGGGGCTCAATCCAGTTTAGCATCTCATTATTCAACCTATGAATGTACAACAGAATGATTCCTAAAGAGACTTCTCAATAAGGCACCACCCCAGTTGAGAAAATATTAGGAAATGATGGCTGCTGATGGGCTGCCCATGCTCTACCTATACACACACAGGCATTTAGCTAACCCCCAACACCAAGGCTAGTCTAACAAGTTAATTTATGAAAGTCAAGTCATCAAGGAAGGCAAATGAGTGTAAAAAAAAAAAAAAACTTTGACAAGAAATTTCACTTGACCCAGGTGATCTTAAAAGTTTATTTCAAGCCTTCCTGGGGGTAAAGAAAATTCCAAAGGCATTATAACTGGGGTCAGAAGACGACATGTTGATTGTTTTTGACAGAGGTATTACTGGTGTAGGATAAAAGGGCCAGCCAAAGAAACACACCCTGACCTGAAACCAGAGCCAAAGAAACACAACCTGCCCCTGAGATCAGAGCCAATTCACTGCCCCCCCTGAAACTAGAGCCAAAAGGTTAAAAAGGGCCAGTGAAAGAAACACACTTTGACTCTGAAACCAGAGCCAAAGAAACACACTCTACCCCTGAACAATTCAGCATGAAAACCAACCAATTCCTGAGCATGAAATCCAATGCATTTCTGAGCTTGTCCAAGCTCAGGGATTGAAATCCTATCAATCCCCACCCCGAAAATCTTCACCCTGGAAAAACTCTGCCCCTAAGAAGACATATATAAGCTTTGTACCCATTCAGTTAGAAGCTGCCTTTTCTCACCCTGCAGAGGCAGCCAGCCACTCTCCTGGATTCCTCCCTCCCAACAAATCTCTTGAATGAGGTTTGAGTGATGACCTTCCTTTGCTGGAGTAGACTGAGGCAGAGAAGTAACAACTTTGGTAGGAGCAGGAGCTGAACTACTACATTTCTGTGGGGAAATTTCCTTAGCAGAGTGGAGTAGAGATGTAATGGCTCTTGCAGAGAGAAGCAGAACTGCTACATTCCTGTGGGGGAACTCTCCCTCACCAGAACAGAGCTGTAAGTATAGCCTGGCTTCCCACAGCCAGGATACCTTTCCATTCCGAGCTATAGGTAATAGCCTGGCTTCTGACGGCCAGGATAGCTTTCTCTTCAGAGCTGCAACACTTACAAGTACAGCCTGGCTCCTGACGGCCAGGAAACCTTTCTCTTCAGAGCTCTAACACTTACAAGTACAGCCTGGCCTCTGACGGCCAGGATAGCTTTCTCTTCAGAGCTCTAACACTTACAAGTACAGCCTGGCTCCTGACGGCCAAGATAGCTTTCTCTTCAGAGCTGTAACACTTACAGGTATAGCTTGGCTTCCAATGGTCAGGACAGGTTTCTCTTCAGAGTTGTAACACAGGTATAGCCTGGCTTCTGACAGCCAGGATACCTTTCCATTCTGAGCTATAGGTATAGTCCGGCTTCTCCAGGAAACCTTCCTCTTCAGAGCTGTAACACAAGTATAGCCTGGCTTCCAACGGCCAAGAAAACTTTCTCTTCAGAGCTGTAACACTGACAGGTATAGCCTGGCTTCCTACAGCCAGGCTACCTTTCCCTTCCCAGCTGTAGGTATAGTTTGGCTTTTGATGGCCAGGATACCTTGTAACACTTACAAGTGGTACCTTATGAAGTGTGTTACAGGTCCTGGTGTAAATGACAATGGGAAGTCCACTTACATACACTCTGAAGGTTGTGTCAATATATGTTTTTAGTGTGGTCTTTCTAATTTTTGAGACAGGGTCTTACCCTGTAGCTCAGACTAGCCTTGAATCATGGTGACCCTCCTGCCTCAGTTCTTCCCAAAGGCTGGAATTATAAGCATGAAATGCCATACCCATTCCTGCAGTATATCTCTCTCAACAGAAGCACTGGATATGTACAAATCTGTTACATTCAACCAAGAATGCAAACACACCCACAGGTCTGTTAATATATGCACCAAACAGCTGACAGAGAAGAAGGCTGTCACTGTCATGTATATTATAGGGTTTACCATTCAATTTGTTGGCACTATACCAATTCCACCAACAGGATTCTCATCATCAGGAGTGAACACAGTGTTCCATTGTATTTTTTCATGAGAAAGTTTCTGTTGTATCAAACTGATGCAGTTTCTTCTCAGCATGTAGAAATGTCCTCCATAATCCCATTCAGTACCTTCTCTGAGGTCCTTTTCTGAGCAGTAATGTGTGGCACTGCTACATGGGCATTTTTATTTACAATAATATACACAGCATTCTGTTTCATAGAGAGTGATTATAATAAGACATTTCCTCAATGAGTTTCTCCTCATACTGTTTAAGTGTGAATACTCTGATGCACACTGAGCACTGACTTCTGAACAAAGCCTTTTCCACAGACTAAACACTTATAAGGTTTATCTCCAGTGTGTGTTGTTTGGTGCTTATTCAAATTGGACCTATCAGTGAAGGCCTTCCCACACTCAGCACACACATAAGGCTTCTCTCCTGTGTGAATTCGCTGATGCACTTGGAGCTGTGATTTCTTAGTGAAAGATTTCCCACAGTCACTACATTCATAAGGCTTCTCTCCAGTATGAATTCTATGATGTGTTACCAACTCTGACTTTTGTCTGAAGGTCTTCCCACATTCAGAACAGACGTATGGTTTCTCCCCAGTATGAGTTTTTTGGTGCTTACTGAGATTTGACCTACCACTAAAGGCTTTCCCACATTCAGCACACACATAAGGTTTCTCACCTGTGTGGACTGGCTGGTGCACCAAGAGCTGAGATTTGGAGGTAAAGGATTTCCCACAGTCCCCGCATTCATAAGGTTTCTCTCCAGTATGAATTCTTTGATGGGTGATGAAGTTTGACTTTCGGATGAAAGCTCTTCCACATTCAGTACACACATAGGGTTTCTCCCCCGTATGAATTTTCTGATGAACAATGAGTATTGATTTCTGATTGAAGGCTTTCCCACATTCATGGCATTTATACTGTCTCTCTCCAGTATGAATTTTCTGGTGTATATTGAGGTGTGATTTCTGGGTAAAGGCTTTCCCACAGGTACTGCATCCATATGGTTTCTCTCCGGTATGAATTCTCTGGTGTGTAATCAGGTCTGACCTCTGAGTGAAGGCCTTTCCACATTTTGAACAGACATAGGATTTTTCTCCTGTATGAGTTTTCTGATGTGTGATGAGATTTGACCTGTTGGTAAATGCCTTCCCACATTTACTGCACATGTAAGGTTTGTCTCCTGTGTGAATTCGTTTGTGTACATGGAGTTGTGACTTGGAAGTAAAGAGTTTCCCACAGTGACCACATTTATAAGGTTTTTCTCCAGTATGAATTATCTGGTGTGCAATCAAGTGTGCCTTTTGGATGAAAGCTAGCCCACATTTCATGCACACATATGATTTTTCTCCTGTATGGATTCTTTGGTGCACTGTGAGAGCTGACTTCTGGGTGAAGGCTTTTCCACAGTCACTACACTGATAAGGTTTCTCTCCAGTGTGAATTCTCTGATGAATGATTAATTCGGACTTATAGGTAAAGGCCTTCCCACATTCAGTGCAGATGGAAGATTTCTCTCTAATTTGAATTTTTTTATGTGTAATGAGGTTGGAACTACTGCCGAAGATTTTCCCATATTCAGCAGATATACAGGGCCCCACTCTTGTGTGAATTCGTTGATGGACCTGCAGTTGTGACTTGGAAATGAAGGATTTCCCACAGATATTGCATCCATATGGCTTTTCTCCAGTGTGAATTCTTCGGTGTGCAACCAAGTGTGTCTTCTGGATGAAAGCTTGTCCACATTCAATACATATATAGGACCTCTCTCCTGTATGGATTTTCTGGTGCATCTTGAGTGTGGACTTTTGTGTGAATGCTTTGCCACAGTCAATGCATTCATGATGTCTCTCTCCTGTATGAATTTTCTGATGTATACTGAGGTCTGAGTTATATGAGAAGCCTTTCCCACACTCGCTACATTCATAGAGCTTTTCTCCAGTGTGAATCCTCTGATGTCTGAAGAGAGAAGAGACTTGGAAAAAGGATTTTCCACAGTCATTGCATTTATAGGGCTTCTCTCTAGTATGGGTTTTCTGATGTGTAATGAATTCTGGCTTCTCTGAAAATGCCTTCCCACATTCAACACATACATAGAGTTTTTCTCCTGTTTGAGATTTCATATGTATTTTGAACTGTGACTTCTGGGTGAAGATCTTTCCAAATTCAGCACATTCATATGATTTCTCTCCAATATAAATTTTTGGATACCGACAAGGTACTTGTTCATAATTGATGACTTTTCCACACTGATTATGGTCCCATAATTTCTCTCCTGTTACAGTATGCTCAGCATCGGTATAGGATGAAATTTTACTGCATTCAGGAATCCTTTTAATTCTCTTTGGCCCATTATTTTCACTATGACTCTGTAAATATAAATTATGCTTCAGATCATTCCCAAATGAGTCACACTGGTGGGGTCTTTTAGGAGGAAGAACAATGTATGGATTCACATGAATTATTTTTCTAATGGTCTTATATCCATAATGACTCTTTGTATCCAGTGTCTTCTTGATGAAAATAACATCACTTGCTGATTTGCTATTTGCTATTTGCTGATAGGTCTCTTTCTGGTCACCAATCTGCTGCAACTCTTCTAGAATGAAATATGAGAAAATATCATTTGTAAAACTACCTTCTTTCTCAATGTGCAAAGAGGTTTTTTTCAGACCCCCCTGTTGTAAAGCTATCTTCCTTTCTGAAGGTGAAACATGTTATTTTAGTTTGCAGTACAGCTAGCAGAGGCTACATGGCAGGGAACAAATGTCTTATCCAGTATAAACACAGAGAAGGGAAGGGTTGTAATTTGATGAAGAAGGTTGTGATGGACAAGAAACATCCAGGTACACAGTACATCCGCTAGAGGAAATAGCCAGGTAGCTATATTACATACAAGCAGATGTGAACAAACTAAAGCAAAGAACAAGGTACACAGAGCAAAGGGACATTTCTATAAACTGTTATATAGCTCAAATTTATTTTAGACTTTGTAACATGGATGGTTTTGTTTGTTTGTTTGTTTGATTTTGGTTTTTCAAGACAGGGTTTCTCTGTGTAGCTTTTGCGCCTTTCCTGGAACTCACTCTGTAGCCCAGGTTGGCCTCGAACTCACAGAGATCCACCTGCCTCTGCCTCCTGAGTGCTGGGATAAAAGGCGTGCGCCACCGCCCGGATGATTTTTTTTTTTTTCGAGACAGGGTTTCTCTGTGTAGCTTTGCGCCTTTCCTGGGACTCACTTGGTAGTCCAGGCTGGCCTGAACTCACAGAGATCCGCCTGCCTCTGCCTCCCGAGTGCTGGGATTAAAGGCGTGCGCCACCACCGCTCGGCCCGGATGATTTTTAAATGTTGCCATCATAGGGAGGGAGGAGGATGTGAGCCAAAGAGATAAAAGGGAATATCAACCCCTTATCATAAGTCTACAACAGAAGATTATAATTAAATGCAGGCCTCATCAGTAATGTACAGTGATAAAACAGCAACAACAGAAAAATCAACTAAGCGCAAAGAAAGACCCTGTCAAATGTGGACTCACCAAAAAAAAAAAAAAAAAAAAAAAAAAAGGTAGATTAGCACACACTCTAGAATCTATAAAGCCAAGAAGACAGAAATAACAAAGGTCATTCAGGTAGAAGGCATTCAGTTACTTGAGAAGTCCATGTTAAGGGTCCTCAAGCAATACAAAAAAATTTAGAACTTTCCCTAGAGGTCATCTTAAAAGCATTTCTAAGGCGCCAATCCTGCTCAAGACAGCTGAGATTTTCTCTCTTGCTTTGCTGAGGCTCCTTGCCTCCCACCTAAATGGGTCACACTCACTCACCTACACAGTGCCGACATGGGCTCTCATTCTGCAATGCCCATGTTTCCTTTCCTTGCTCCAGCGTGAAAACCTCTGTCTTGGGAACTTGATATCCTGGTCACAGAAAATGATAAAGGACTGGGTCCAACTACTCATGTTTCAGAACCCAATCCTTCTTGTTAATGAGAATTCGTTCTTAAGTAATCACATATCTCTGTGAACAGAATAATCTTTAGAGTACATAAAGGAGATAAAGCACTCTGGTTACAGGGCTAGAGAGAAGCTCAGCAGTTACGAGCGCTTGTTCTTAACCTGAAGGCTTGGTTCACAGTACCCACATTGGGTGCTCACGACTGCCTATAAATCCAGTTTCAGTGAATCGCATGCCCTCTTCTGGCATCCACAGGTACTGCACTTTCATGGTACAGATGCATGCGCTAGCGCGCGCGCGCGCACACACACACACACACACACACACACACACACACACACACACACTTAAAAATAAATAAATAAATCTTTAAAAAGTCCTAGTTAAACACACAAAAACCATGACATATTTAAGATACCTCATAGCAGGCATCCAAATGAGAAAAGAATATGCTCAGTGAGGCTTCCTTTCAGAGAAAAGGGGACTCTGCTTACCGACTGAGCGCAGGTGACTGTAGGTCTCCTGCATCACATCCTGGTAGAGACTTCTTTGATCAGGGTCTAGGTGCTGCCATTCTTCTCTGCTGAAATCTATAGTCACATCCATGAAGGACACTGATCTCTGCAAGAGCAAATTCCTGTTCAGTGTAAACAGATTTGCAGGGTGTGGAAAAACATATTTAGAAATAAGGACTTTGTTTTTGTCTTTCACTCATTTGTAAAAGTCCCTGGAGAGTGATGCCAGCAAGATGGCCAAGTAGAAACACTAACACTCATCTCACAGCCAAAATAACAAATAAACTACTATATGTTGATAGAAATAACTAAAGGAGATTCCTGGGGACATCAGAAGAGTCACAGAAACCCCAGATGGCCACATGAGAGTACAAAAGGCAGTGCCTTGTCACCACCCTCCTGGCCCCTAGTAGCAGTCAGCTCAGAATGAGGAGGGTAAGAGGATCCCAGCAACCATCATTACCCTGGGCACTGTAATGGTTAATTTTGTCAACGACACAATTTAGAATCATAGGAAGAAAGTATCAGTGAGGGACTGTCTGGATCATGTTGGCCTATGGAAGACTGTCTTGATTATGTTAATTGATATGGAAGGCCCACTGTGGTCTGCACCATTTCCTAGGTAGGGGATCCTGAACTGCGTAGTCCGGGGCAGGGCTGAGGGGGCTAAGCATAAGTAAGCATGCATGCATTCATTCTCTATGCTCTTGACTGTAGTGTGACTAGCTGTTTCAAGTTTCTGCCACTGTGACATCCCCACATAATGACTGTAACCTGGAATTGTGAGCCAAATAAACCCTTTCTCTATTATGTGGCTTTTGTGAGGGTTTTTTTTTTTTTTTTTTTTTTTTTTATCCACAGAAATGGGAAATGAAACTAGAGCAGAACTCTACATCCTCAATCCTAGGGTATCCTGCAGGCCTCACAGGTGCTAAGCACAGCTGAGGGAGTTGGCTATAGACTACATAGTTATGCTCTCTCCAAACAAGGAGCTGACACTGTGCCTCGTCCCCTGTGGCTCATGTAGAGGTTGTACTACACTACCTTGCTGGGTATAGCTTGTTCCAGGGGCCTGGGCACCACTTCAGCTCAGCCTTTGAAGGCAGGCAACTTGTAGGGGCAGACTGAAAGCTTTACAATAGTTTGGTGCCACAGGCAGTATTAGGTTGGAAATCTCCAGCTCACTCCTGCTTGATTTGGAGGGCCCCATTTCTCTCTCTCCAAACCCCAACCTCTCAGAGAATCTCCAATGGAGGAGAACCACCAAAAAGCCCAGTTCTGCATTCTTAGTGGCTATGGCAGCTCCTCCCCTCAAGTTGCCAGTGGCCCAAGTCCCCATCCAAAGCATTGTGATTGGGCACAAACCCAGCTTGTGGTGGATATGTCATCTCCCCTCACCTACAGGGTACATAAGCATCCTGCTCTAGTTCAGCCATGTGATTTCTCCTGCTCTTTCTCCCACCTTAATCTCTGGGGGCTGAAGAACTCACCTGTGAGTTGCTTTGCTCAAAATAAACCTGTTCTTTTACTTTTTCAGTTCGGCTTGATCTGGCTTACTGCATCAGCGGAGAAACCTATTATAGGGGTACAGAAAGCCTATTAGGTAGGATATAACAGAAACTATCTAGGGGACAGTGGGCCACCAGACAGATGGGTCAGAGGTGATCTCTGTTCATTTTTACTTAAAGATATGTTAATAAATAAATATTGTAATTCTTTGTATATTATTCTTATTATCAGTAAGATTCATTCATCACCATTTTAGGTGGTTTTCATCTTAAATTCCTATTACTAAATATGCAGCTGTAAGCTTCTTCCTTCCCTCCTTCCCTCCTTTCTTCCTTCCTTCCTTCCTTCCTTCCTTCCGTCCTTCCTTCCTTCCCTCCTTCCCTCCTTTCTTCCTTCCTTCCTTCCTTCCTTCCTTCCTTCCTTCCTTCCGTCCTTCCTTCCTTCCTTCCTTCCTTCCTTCCTTCCTTCCTTCCTTCCTTCCTTCTTCTTTCCTTCTTTCTCTGTGTAGCCCTGGCTGTCCTGGAACTCAGTCTGTAGACCAAGCTGGCTTCAAACTCACAGAGATCTGCCTGCCTCTGCCTTCTGAGTATTGGGATTAAAGGCGTGCACCACCACCACCTGGCTTGTAGGTTTCTTTTGATTCTGAGTCAATACTTTCCCGCTCCTTTATTTTTAAATAAGAAAAGCAGCTGCTGACAGCTGGGCCTGGTACTATCATGTGGGCTCCAGTGTTGCTAGGAGCTGGACTGATGGGATTACCTAGATCATGGTACTCTCCATGGTGTTAAACACACACACACACACACACACACACACACACACACACACACACACACACAAACGAATGACCTCACAGGCAGTCAACATTAAAGAAGACTCACTGTCTGGCCACTGCGGCACAAGACAAAATCAAGACCTGTTGTGGGATATTTTGATCGCACTCTGACACTCTTGAGACTGCCAATAAAGTTTACTTTGAATCAGAGGCAGAGCTAGCTAATAACAAACCAAAATTAGCCACAGTGGTTTTGGAGGACTGAGGACATATAGAGAGACACAGGAAGCAGTAGGGAGGGGCTGAGAGAAAGGCTCATCCCTTTGGGATAGAGGGAGAGGAGAGAGTGGAGGTCACTGGCTGCTTCTCTGCCATTTCTCTATCAATCAGGTTCTTACCCCGATATCTGACTCCCGAGTTTTTTATTGATAAAGAATAATTAGAAAACGTTTCAAAGACCGCTCTGTAATCATGTCTAAGCACAGACAGAAATCACAGCACTATTCAACTGCTAAGGCCATAAACATCCTCTTATTCCCACCAATACAAATAACTATTAGTTCTTAATCCTGGCTGCCCATCCTCTACATAAAAATGACCGAGATATCTAAAGCTAAAATTGCCCAATAGAGCAGAAATGTCATTACGATTCAGCTGAGACTTGATATTTGTGGTCAGAGCCTGAAATGAGATCCTACTGCTCCTTAGAGATCAGAAAAAGAAGATATGTCTAAGAGAAGAGTGTTGTCCACAAGATGTTCTGTGTTTATCAGACATTTAAAACAGATTTCAATGTTGTGTCCAGTATACTATTTTTGAAATCACAAGAAAAAAATAGTTATATATATATATATTGAACAGAATAATCCATGGCAAATAATATAAACTGGTCATCTACACTCAGTAACATGGGCATGTAGAGAATGAGGTGGGTTAACCACAGTTCATCTTTCCCATGAGTGTCTTTCAACATAGTATCTTTAGCATTGTTTTTTAGTTCCCCATATATGAATGAAGTATACACATTGCCTATACAAAAAAAATTAGTCATTCCTAACAAACCACCACTATATCACCAGGAGAATAAGACATACAAGACTAATGAAAAAAACAAACAACAAATGCTATAAAAAATGAATATTTAAAAGCCAGCGGTGGTGGCGAATACCTTTAATCCCAGCATTTGGGAGGCAGAGGCAGGTGGATCTCTGTGAGTTCAAGGCCAGCCTTGTCTACATATCAAGTTCCAAGCCAGTCAGAGCTACATAGTGAGACTCTGTCTTTAAAAAAAAAAAGGCCGGGCGGTGGTGGCGCACGCCTTTAATCCCAGCACTCGGGAGGCAGAGCCAGGCGGATCTCTGTGAGTTCGAGGCCAGCCTGGTCTCCAAAGCGAGTTCCAGGAAAGGCGCAAAGCTACACAGAGAAATCCTGTCTTGAAAAAAAAATGCATCACAATGCTTTTTTTTGTGACAGTACACAGGATAGATTTAATTAGTTATATTTCAAATTAAAAAACAACTTCAAATAAACAGAATCAATACAATTTTGCTCTGGGCATCTTAAAAAAAGAAAAAAGAAAGAAAAAGGAAAAAAAAGAAACCAGAAGAGCATCTGATCCCCTGAAACTGGAGTTATAGACAGTTATGAGCTCTCATGTGGGTTCTAGGAATCAAACCTGGGTCCTCTGGAAGAGCAGCCAGTATTCTTTTTTTATTTGTTTGTTTTTGTTTTTCGAGACACAGTTTCTCTGGTAGTTTTGGTGCCTATCCTGGATCTCACTCTGTAGACCAGGCTGGCCTTGAACTCACGGAGATCCACCTGGCTCTGCCTCCCGAGTGCTGGGATTAAAGGCATGCACCACCACCACCCAGCTCAGCCAGTATTCTTAACCACCAAGTCATCTCTGCAGCCCAAGGACTTAAAAAGAAAAAATTTACTTATTTCTATTTATGCGTGTGAGTGTTTTGTTTACATGTATGTATGTGCACTACATGTGTACAGTACCCAAGGAGGCCAGAAAAGGGCACTGGACCACCTGGAACAGGAGGGCCAGAAGGCTGTGAGCCACCATGTGGGTGCTGTGAAGCAAACCTGAGACTTCATGAAACTGGTGGGCACCTCTCCAGCCCCAGACTAAAGGGCCTGTGTGTGCTTGTACCTGCCATGATGGGTATAGGAAGCACAGAAGACAACGTTGTGGAGTGTGTCCTCTCTTTCCACTTTTATGTGGGTTGCAGGAATTGAATTTGGGTCTCCAAGCTTACAGGGCAAGCAAACTTACCTAGTGAGCCATCTCACCAGCCCCAAACTAGAAATTTTTTAATTAAAACTTGGAATGAAATGTCTGGTAACAGGTAGCTCAACAGAGGGGTAGGAGACAAAGTTGACGTCATTTCCCAGAAAAGAAGGCCGCAAAAAGGAACGAAACAGTGGAGGGAAATAAAAACTGGAGACACTGAGAAATGGAAATTCCAAAAACTGAATAAAGAGAATATCTGTGTTCTGTGTGGCAATTTGAGAAGAAACAGAGCCATTTCTGCAAAAACCCTACACAGAAGTAATTTCTAACAAGAATAGCGTCCACAGACAAAAAATAGAGACAGTAGGAGGACAAACAACAGCCCTTCACCACGGTCCTTCACCACGGCCCTTCACCACGGTCCTTCACCACGGTCCTTCACCACGGCCCTTCACCACGGTCCTTCACCACGGTCCTTCACCACCGTCCTTCACCACGGTCCTTCACCACGGTCCTTCACCACGGTCCTTCACCACCGTCCTTCACCACCGTCCTTCACCACGGTCCTTCACCACGGTCCTTC